TAATGTTAAATCTAATTTGATAGCTTAATAAGTACCAACTGTAATACATAATCCTTAGCCTTTTTCTCTTCAAACTTTATTTTGATGTTGAAATAATGGTTAAAACTCCCAACCATTGTGTATGTAACATATATACATACATCGACCAATATGGGTCGATAAGTATTAGTACAGTGTAATTACTGTTATTTCATGTTCTCTACAAATTATTAAATTATACAATTTCAAAAATATAAAGAAAAAGATGGTACAAGCGTTTATTCAACACAAATTAACTAGGAAAAAGAAATCAATACTTAAACTCTCAGAATAGCTTTCCACATGTTTTTCTTTTGGTAGTTCAAATGATTCCATCATTGATTGATTTATTTATTTATTTATTTTTATTTTAGGTAGGTTTTGTTTTCTCATTAGTCATTATTTGATGAATTAATAAGTTGAAGTAGGGATCAAAGTTGTTGGGTTTCTTGGGTATTATAGTTTGGGAGATTCAGTATTGTTATTACTAAATAAATTGGTTAATCACACGTGAGTCTATAAAAACTACGAATTATAAAATTGATTTGTATTATAGGCCCCTACTTCAAATTATTAAACAGTAGTCAACACAACCTATTGAACGTTATCCTCGACCAAAGTAGACTAATGGAAACCTAGGAGAGAGAATGTGACATACGAAATGTTGATGTTCATTCATGGTGATAAAAGAGGCGAGTGTAGAGGTGGATCGAGAACAAAGGGTCGCAGAATCCGGCAACCCGTGATGATCACTTTTCCGGCCTTGTTACCAGAAGGGGGATGTTGCTGTATGGTCTCCGAGCAAGTTAGGTGGGTCTCCCGTCTCCGTGTTGGTAACCCGGAAACGTGGTCGATATCTTTGTATTTGATGACTGGCTGTAAGTAGTATTTGCGTTTGTTATATTTAATTCACATTGCCTTTGACTGAGTGTTGTTGAGCTTGCTTATCTGTTTGTCGAAGCTCAACGAATGTCCTGCATGAATTGAATGTTCCTAAATTATGAATTGAATTGTGCTAATTAACCAATTGATTGTCCCGCTAATTAATGAATTGATTGTTTACTGAGTTATGTTGAGGTTGTTAAATAGAAGCGACTGAGCTTCCTAATATTCTTATAGAATCAATCCATTGTCCTGCAATTTGAACAATTGAATGTTGGTTAATTAGGAATTGAATTCGGCAAATTTAAATTTAACAATTGAATTTTGCTACCAATTGATTGTCCTGCTAATCAATGAATTGATTGTATGAATATGTGTTGCTATACTGCTAATTATGCAATTGATTGTTATTTTGATTAGTATGTATTTTCTTTGCATAAATGGTTACTTTGTATTAATGTTATTGAGTTATGCCTGACTTTGCCTATCTGAGCATCTTCACTTTGCAGTATGTGTCCAGGTTTTAGGACCCTTATTCTTTTTTTTTTGAAGAAACATTGAATCTTACTATATAGGAAAATAGTCAATATAGTTGCCTTGTGACCAGTCATATTCTTTAATCTAATTTATGAATCTTTGCGAGGGAATTTTAGGTAACATCTTCTGATTTTCATGCTTGAGTTGATTTTGTTTGCAATTCATCGTACAATGTCAGATGAAGTGTTGGGGATTCTATTTTGAAATTCCTGGTTCTTTGGTTCATTGGTTTACATTCCTGGGTCTTTATTGTGCTATTTTCGTATTTAACCATTTGAAACTCTCTGTTTTGGAGAGCGTTTCTTTAAATTTTGACATGTTGACCATTCTACATTTTAGAACGTCTGGTCTCATCTTCCTTTTGTACCTAGCCCATTGTCGAGGTCTTCATGTAGGTGATTATGACTATTCCAATCCCTTTATCTTATGTTGTCGATTGAAGCTATCGTAGATTAACAAGCTGAGTAAATTATGTGCAGTTAATTCACATAGGAGAATGTCTTCCTTGCAGTTAATTCACATAGGAGAATGTGTTCCTTGGATGATGGGTCTGGTATAAGGTGGTATGCGTTATCTAATTTTCAAGTTTTAGTCAGAGGTAGTGGTTAAATTATGAACTTGTTACATGTGATGGTGCGAACTTATTTGGTGAATACAGGTTAGTAATGGATCTAGGCAACCGCATATGAAAGGGCTGCATACTGGATTAAATGGAATTTTTTTTTTTTTTATTGATTGTGTTGTTTAATTGATTGATTGGTTGATGTTGCTTTACTTGTTTGATACCCTTGAACCCTATTTTGTCCTAGGGTTTATCAGCTACAAACCCTTTACTCCTCTTTGTTCATATTCAATTGTAGATTAACTAATTGTGGAACTTACAATGTGTAGATATCATTCTATTGGGAGAAATGTCTGTAGTTTAATATGATATTGTTGCTGAATTTCACAATTGATGTTTATTTTGTTGTCGAATTTGAGTAGATATCATTCTATCGGGAGAAATGTCTGTAGTTTAATATGCTTGACCACATCAATGGTTTAACCTTATTCGTTAGAGAATTTATTGTCCACACTATATTGCTAGATCTGCGTATGTCTAATTGATTAGGAAGGGGTTTTAGAGCAGGTGTGATCAAGGAGATCCAATTTTGCTTTATTAACAATCCATAGTTTTGGCAACATTTTTGAGTTTTTGATGTTCCACGCCTGATGAGTTATAGAAGGCACTCTATAGAAATGTTTAATTCAGTATTGAACCCGGAAATTAACCTAGTAACGCTCCTTTCTGCACTGTTAGCTGTTATAATAAATAAAAAGGTCTTATACTTGGATCTCAATAAAGTACTATTCCTTTTAACAGTTATAGTACTAAGAATGAACACAATAGCAACTTTATCTGGGGCTGAGAGTGAGGGGAAAAGGGTTTTTCATGGTAGGAATATAAGATGCTTCTTGGAGTCTTAGGAGGCATGATTATCGTGAAGTATTGGAGTTGGGGCGATGGAATACGGTTGAGGCGAGCAGCTGGGATTATTCTGTCACGTTTACTTTGTCTTGTGGTTATATGAAAGGTCTCAATGATGCGCGAAGAGTATGTAGAAATTGCTGGTCTTGTGTGCTGTGGAAAACACTCTAGGCACCATACTGGTGGGGGATGTTGGATTATGCTCCCTTGTATGTATCCTAAATAACTACATTTATGGCTCTAATTTCAAAGGTACGGTTTTGATTACTTCTTCATCAAATGTGTGATGGTGTCATTATAAGAGTGCATTATTGTGGGGAATATTTTCAAGCCTTTAAAATCCCACTAGCTTGAACCCCACTGTGATCATACACTAAAGTACGGTGGCGTCCAAAAGGGAAAAAGATAGAGCAAAAGAGTCGCCAACAAGTTTTTAAGGAACTTGTAAACCGTTCACGAGGTGAAGGTTACACCCCTTAACGATCCAAGAGATCGTCAACTCCATAAGGTCATGAACCAAATAAGGGTTCGGGGATGAAGGTACAAACCCAACCTAAAAGAGATTGAACCTGCCTTAATAATAGGCCTCTACTTTATTCTGCTCGTATTCATGTGCGCTTTCTGACTAACATACAATCAATAGGATTAACCCTAAACCTGTTTAATCTATGTTGGTTGAATTTAATTCACAAATAAATTACTATTGGCGATCACTTGAATTTATAATCACAATTAACCTAACAAGATTATTAATTATCTTATTAAGCGTGATTGCAAGTACCAATTCCCTTTAACCTGCAATAAAAGGTGATCAAGCAATAAACAATATACAATAATATGCATATCAAGCAACATAATAAATAATCATCATAAATCATAATCATAAATATTAGAAAGAACATAGGAAGCATCATTGTGTATGGCAGGGTATGTAATATACTGAGTTTATGCATTTCAAAACTTGTCTAAAAATTGCTTCCCTTTATATTATACTTATTATATCATTTTGGTTCTCTAATTACAGAGTCCTAATGCTAACATGAATTCAAGGGTGAAGGCATTCTACATTAGAAACACTTGCACACCTTATCATGAATTCAAAGTTTGCGCAAAGTTGACTATGAAGCTCACAAGGCTGTTTCAGAAATGGGTTGCTGAAGTCAACTTGGATCCCAAAATCATTCGCATGCAACACCAAGACAAGAAGCTTAACAGGAGGTTCACCATTGGGGAATCCGGCATTAAGAACCAAGACTATGTCTATGCCTTTCCTGATTAATAACATGTTGGTCAGAGGGTTTGATTACAGTAGAAGCTAATTAATGTTTTGTGTTTAAGAAAGTTAAAAGTTGTTGCAATTTGTAGTAGACTTAGCCCTTTTGGATGTAATATAGTACTGGCAAATTAGCTTAATGGTTTTCAGCTAGATGAATCTTGTATTTCCTTAATCGTAATGTTTTTTAACTAGAAAGTACACACCTGTGTCATGTATGTGATGACAACTTCATTAATAGTAAAGGCTTGTTTTGTTAAACTAATTGACTTATTTGTTTTTGGTTAATATCAATGTAGCTTGTTCAAATAATCGAACTAAAAATAGTAATTTTCGGAAATGTGTTTAACCCTAAAACAAACAATGAATGCGTGAACATTTTGTTATCGAATAGATAATTGTCAAATTAAATGGAATAATTTCGTGCATTTATCTTTTTTTTTTTTTCTTATTTCGTGCATTTATCTTGCACGATCTTTAAGTGGACGGCATTTACAATCAATCATAAACAGATATTGAGCATATAAATCCATTAATATCCTCAAATTATCTAGTTTTACCTTTACAAATTTTATTTTAACAGCATTCAGAAAGTACAAACTGAGTTGGACTAGTTCTGCTTAAGTGACCCGCAAATTAAGCAAGCCCAACTTAAAGTAGGAATATAATCTTAATGCTTAATACGCTTGCAAAAGAGGGGCCCCTTATTGAAGATCCAAAATATAAAATTCTCCCTTCCGAACCTTATGAATTCAAATACAAGGTCGCCCAATTTGGTAATCATTAAAGTCACAAATACGAAGCAAATTGTGTACTGCCATATAGAGACATAGACCAATTTTACACTTAACATTAAGCATGTTCAAATTACACATGACAGGCAATCATTCAGATTAGGACCCCAATTTCGGTAACCTTGTTACCAGGATTGGTGACTACAAAATACGACACTAAAATGCTTACTAATTATACAAAAGGTCATACTGTAATCATAATTCCCTAATCATAATTCCTTAATCTCAATCTAAATAGGATGAATTACATCAAGCCATAAATATCTGAATGAATCAGAATGCAAATGAATCACCAAAAGTTTCTCATCACAATAGTTCTCGTCACCTAAAGTTTCTCATCACATATCAAACTGCATCGACCATCCTTCACCTGACATGTTCGCCTCAAAATCTTCACACCAGCCATCTGGCTCTGTTGTTGGCTCTAGGAACTCGGTGTATGGGTTGTCCTTTTTCTTCCTTTTCACCTGAAAGAAAACCTTGATTACAGCATATCGTAAAATAGCAACATCATATCAACACATGAGAAAAAACTTAACGAATACCGGCAACTTAGTAGCTGCGCCTGTAACATCAGCACCCTCTGCTGGAGCTTTCTTTTTTGATGCCTACAGGAGACAGAAATTACATTCAGAACAAGGGAGATGACTGATGATATTAGGAGAATACGAAAAGATCAATTCTTATTTTTTTTTAAAAATGATTAAATTATCAAAGGGGTATTGGTACTTAATCTTCAATTATGGCTCATGAGACAGAAAACTTTTCACCTTTGCTTTTCATGTATTGTATCCTAGCTCAGCCCGTGTCTTGTTCCTAGAGCCCTTAGGCCGACCATGAGGCCTCTTTTGAGTAATTGGATCTCGGACAACAAATCTTGAGCTGGTTGAAGCTTCGTTTTGTGCATTGTTGGGATTTGTTCCGGTGTCCGATACATTGCATGGCTTAGACATTGGAGTACCTCCAGCTTCAGGGGGCTGATTTGATGATCCTTTATGAGAGCAAGGATCCATGTTACTAGGTACCACTTCCGGAATATTTTTCTCCAAGTGAAGTGCACGACGTACTCTGACTTCGGTGCGCAATTTGAGAACTGCTTCTCTAACAGCCACAATTGTATCCTCATCTACATTGGAAGCTTCATCACACAAGGCCTCGAGGTCAGGAAACAGCTTGTTGTAGCGAATGCATTCCGCGGTTTGACTCGGGTCATGATATGCCACTTTTACACGTGTGTGCCTCCGCATCACATCTTTGCGCCACCGATCAAGTACATATTTCGATGGTATTTCATTCACCAAATTTTCATCAAAAACTCTAATGATATGCTTGCAAAGAATCCCATCCTTTTCAAATTTCCTGCAATCACATGTTATGTCTTTGGTAACGGGATTAAATACCAGAGAGTACAACCTCCGATAATCAGTGATTATTTCTTCATTTGATCCTTCCGGAACAATCCATACTCGATCTGAAAGCAGATACTGAATTTCAACGTCACTTATCACAGTCTCAGATTTAGGAACTACGTACAACATTCTAGCACATTCTCTTTGCACTTCTTGGAACTTCGCATCAGTGTAAATTTGTTGGAAGTATCTCTCTGCTCTGAACCCACTCACAAGCCGTCTTATGTATTTTGCATCCCTTGCATCTGCATCGGTCTCATCACCAACCCTCTTCTTCATTGCAGCTGAGTACTTTTCGGGGAACTCGCACAACCTTGTTTTACGGGTGACAAACCCATCAAAAAACCTGTTGATGCTCTCAACCCTCTGCGTAGTTTTCATACCGGCCCAAAAGAACTCTTTCATCCAAGCTGGCACCCACATGTGCCGCTCTACAAACAATTCTTGAAGCCATTCATTGTCCTCCAAACCATACTTCTTCATTGCTTCACACCATCGGGTCTGGAATTCTACGGTAGTGAAACTATCGTAAACAATATTCTTCAACGGGCTCTTGAAATCATTGTACCTGTTTGCTTCAAAGTGTTACTGACCTCCATACACTTGTAGCCTTAAATACATATAGCAATTTTTTCAAGGACCAGGAGTTTACAAAAGCGCTCAGCAGTCAAATGTAGAAAAATAGGCATTATTCACTTATACTAAAGCACTGAATATATCTAATCAGTTCAAGATCAGCAACATACAAGTTATCCATAAAATTATTTAAGACACATAAAAAATGTCATATCAGATAAAGTTAAATTTCAGAAGACTTCAGAATCAGGATATGGATATGCCGTGAATCAATATAATACCCTACTCCTACAAAAAAAACCTCATCCTCATTTTACACCAGAGCATTGCTCCCAAAGCCTCATATAGAGCTACACTCCTTCTGTTTAAGCTTATAAAGATAGACATGTTGTGCCATCTAAATGGCCATCTCATATACACCTAAATGGCAACAAATATTATCAATTACACCATAGCAGGTACTGACTCTCTTGATACATAGCAGGTATCAATTATAACACCATTTCACTGACAAATATGGCAACATCATACTGCACACAACACAACAAAAATAATAGCAGAAAACTTAAATGGAAACAAACATACCAATATGATATTGCAAACAACACAACAAAACAACCACAAAACAGGTGAAGATTCTTCAGAACAAAACAAAAAGAAATCTGAAAAGTTTCATTATAAACACAAAAACAATTTTAATAAAACCAATCTAGAAAACTTACATGGCACACCTCCCAAGTTTGTCAGGAAATTTCCGGAGAATATGCCACATGCACCATCGATGGCGTGTATTAGGCATGACTTCAACTAATGGCTTCCTCATAGCAGGGGCTTGGTCAGTTAGGATGGCAAGAGGGGTTTTATTGCCCATGCACAACAACCATTGTTTAAATAACCATCGAAAAGTATCACAATCTTCATGAGAAACTAGGGCACAACCTAATAAGATCGACTGGCCATGGTGATTGACTCCTACAAAATTAGCAAATGGTAGCTCATACTCATTTGTCAGATACGTGGCATCAAAGCAAACGACGTCACCGAAGTCTTCATAAGCTACACGGCTTCGAGCATCAACCCACATGACGTCCTTTAAACGACCTTTATCGTCCAACCTATGTGCATGGTAAAAATTCTGATTATCGGCTTGCATGGAATCAAAGTAAGCCATCATGGCTTGAGCATCTCCACCGGCCATCTTAAGCCGCCGTTGTTTGTAAACCTCATGCTGCATATCCTTCACATTAGGCAAATTAGGATTTTCCGTGCCTAAACATCGACGTAATACACTCACAGGTACACCCACCTCATAATAATTCACCAACCGCTTGCGAACAGTGGAGGTCATCTTCTTCATACGGTACTCTTTCACTAAATTTGCCATACTTGGACACAGATCATGATTATGCTCCAACTCCACTCTTTGCAACACCCAAAGCCCTTCACGATTCACACTTCCATATACCCTAGCTTTACAATAACATATTTTAGATTTCCTTTTCCCACGTGATAGCTCTGCCTCCCCTATTACACCATTCACATTTCCTCCACAACCGCCAACATCCATTTGCTTCGCCCTTTTCTTAGCCTCTCGCTTCGCCCTCATATCCGGTGCACCATAACATTCACACTTCCAAGTGATTCCCCTTCTCTCTTTACTAGTAGTATATGATCCTTGAACCCGGCTAACCCCAAAGCCACACTCCTCAGCATATAGTTTGTAATAACACTCAATATCCTTCCATCCTTTAAAAACCATTCCGACCTTTGGAGGTTCAATAGAGGTGCCTTCAATCACATCATTTGTTGACACTGTTGTATTTAAGGTCTCTACACTCTCAACTGGGGAACCTTGATGGTTTTGACTACAAGAGTTGTCATTGATACATGGTAAAGGAGAATTGTATTCAACGGTCTGTGAGAGGGATATATTATCCAAGTTCTCTTCATCCAAAGTAATATTGCCTTCATTTTCATTATCATCTACACATATCTCCATCAACGTACCAATATCATCACACCCCACCCCTCCTAAGGGACTAAATCTGTCTGCATCCATTTCAAAATTCTCATCCATTACCCACAGCTACCAATGACCACCAACAGCAGAATTTAACACATAACTAACTGCAAACTATATAAAACACATATTATGTATCATCAACTACAGCAGTTTATAGAATAATGCAATATCAGTAAAGACAGTAATCAAACACATAGGAAACACATATAGGCCCAAAAATTCAGAAATAAACCTAATCAAAAATTCAGAATTTAATTCACATTACCAAAATTTCAGAATTCTTTCACATTACCAAAATTTTCAGAATTCAGTTCACCCAAACTGCATTACAAATAATTCAGAAAACAATTCAGAAATGAAGTCACCCATATAGCAATCAGAATTCATAATTCATACAATAACAATTAGAAGAATATACCACTACACAGGTCGCAAATCAAAGGTTACGACCAATTCACACTACAAATTGTCGAAATTAAATTAGCAACAGCGATATTAACTACGTACACCTCAACTACTGAGGACATTGAGCTTACCTTTATAAGTGACAACACCTTGCATCCAGGCCGAACATCAACGAATGAATTCGTCTGAAGGGAAGTGGGAGACCAAAGTTTACGAATCCTCCATAGATCCAAGCTCCGGACAGCTTACCCTTCGCTACTTTCTGGGTGGGTTTAGTTTGGTGAAGAAAACAAAGAGAGAAGGGCAACAGCGAACAGGGCAAGCTCGATTAGAAAAGTTTCTGGTGTTTTGCTTGTTTTCCAGCAACTACCCCTCCGTTAAATGGTCATGTAACGTCGTCAATTCACTAAAATAAGGGACCCCACCTCTTGGTATTTAAAAATATTAAAATATGCTTATGTGGCTTGTGTGATAAATGACAATTTTTCTATTTTTATGGGGTACTTGTGGAGTCGTAATTGTTTTGAATAAATTGCACATTTATATGGAGTATAACCTAAAAAGGAATGAAGGAGTAATTCCTTAAAAGAAACTTGTGCTAAACCAAGTTTTTTTTTTATATAAACAAAAAGCGAGAAGGCAAAGTATTAACTATTAAGTACTGTATTAATGTGGAGCTTAGCTTACATTAATTTCGACAAGCTAAGCGACCTCAAAGACTGGTCAAGAACGCAAGTGATCACATGAGCTACCGACCTACCGTACTTGGTTCACCGCAGCTTTCACCAAAATCTTGTACAGGTTGTAATTATAAGTCCGGTATTCGAATGAGTTTCAAATCTCATTTTGTAATACTTCCTCCAATTTTTTTTTTTTTTTTTAATGATTATGTTATATATTACATTGTCTTAATTTAATTTATTGATTAATGTTTTTGATAGAGTATAAAACATATTTCTGAAACTCAACCATGAGCTTTAACTTTTGGTTGAGATGATCATTTAACATGGTATTGGAGCCAGCGTGACAGAAAGGTTACGAGTTCAAATCTCATCCACCCCCTACTTTTAAGTGGAATATTTCGTGCAGTGTAAAATATATTCCTATAAAGTAAAAGTGTAAAACATGATTTATCAAGATGTGATAAAAGTAAATTAAGTGGAAAAACACACCAACAACGCGACAAGGTAACAATGTTATGACAATATTATGTGACAAACTTAAAGTGACGCCTCAAAATAGCTTAAAAGGCCACCTAAAAAGTTTTGTTCAATTCTCTTTGCCATATTTTTATTACTTACAGGTATAACACTACATGCATCAATTATATATGTTTGTTATAAAATCAAACCAAACCAAACCAAGCTAAATTAGAATAGATCAAATTACATAAAGATAATGAGTCGTACCAAAAATAAAATTTAGACTAGAACATAAAAAAAACAAATGACATTATACCATACTACATCAAAACTTAAATAGTTTAAATTAAACTATTTTAGATAAGATGAAGATAACAAAGCCTAATTAAATAATGAAGGAAGTCGAATCATTAATATTTCTTCTTCAACTTTGATACAAATTTAAAGTATACTAGCTACCCTACATAACTACATTTGATTATTTGTAGTTCCTATCATTTCAATGTAGCATAAATACGTTACATTTTATTTACTAATATGAATACAATATTAAATGACATTTTATCATAGTAATGTAAGTTTTAACTAAATATAAATAACTCCTTTATTATGTATGTGTGACAGATGCTAATATAAGCTCTACTATTATTAATATATTTTTGAATTAGAGGGAGTCTTATCAATCTATGTTAAGTAGACAAAAACAAGAATCATTTGAGTGAAAATTTGTCTAATTAAACAGTTAAACATATTCAAGTGATGATAAACTTGATGGAATCATGGCCCATACCTTTACGGTTAAGGGAGGTCCATTTGCAATTAATGGCCGGGACATTTGAACTTAGCATTGTGCTTAAATAGTTAAATGCTAGAGGACTACTAGTAGAAATAATCACATGCTTATTATTTTAGTCGATTACAATGTACATTAGCACTTGGCTTTCGGGCAAATTCGAAACGACTGAAAATTTAGTTTTCTTACAATTTTCAGGTCGCTTGTTACGATATTGGTTTAAATTACACTGTCAATTGAACACATAATATCAATTCTGAAGCAGTATTTGTTTTATGGCCTAAGAGTTAACTATAGTCAAAGCATGGTCTTCTACTATTCGCGCATCAATTGGTCTAAATAGGTAAATAAAACCTCTTTTTAGGATCTTGGTTATTATCTATACTTACTAAAAAAAAAAATTTAAAAATAAAATAAAATTATACACGAATAACTTATGTCGTATTCATTAATTTATTTATAATGGTATGGGGTACTCTAAATAAATCTTAACCCACAAAATTTTTGATCTAGTATTTAGAGACTAGACACTTGAACTGAAATCCTTCTTAAATTTTGAATACATATGTACAATAATACAAGCTCACTATATGTGCTTAATTATTAAACGTTGTTAGCAAAATGATAAAAATAATAAAGCGTCATGAGCATGACACATGAGAGTTGGTGCCACCCGATAATTAATTTGAAAAATTGGTAAAATTAAAAAAGTGATGGATATTATTATATGAAATTGTTAAAGTACAGAAATACTTATGAAAATAATTGATTATTAAATGAAACAAGCACACAATGCAAACTAGAACTTCTGGACGTGCTTGGCGTGAACGGCTGAAGGTCGGCATAACTGACCTAATCATTCTAGTCCTAATCTTAATTAAATACTCATTAATCTTATCATTAAATTTTGAAGTCTTCTAAAATAATTGCTACATTAATGTACTTCTTGCTGATCATCGTATCCTTGGCATTGTTAATTACGGATCGGAGTACTACACTAGTTTACTAGTGCACGTACTTAATATAAAAATACTTGCATTTTGAAAATTAATAATAAAATATTTGATGGTGATATTCTGTGGTATACTCATGTTTACTAATTTGGTCCTCAATTTTTTCTTTTTGATATATACGGATTACAGAGTGCTGAAAAAGTTCTAACAATGTGTTTGGGTGAGGCTTGTGTCTTGTGGAATGGAGTAGAATCCATCCAATGTTGATTTGGTTTTTTTTTTTTGGTCATGGAAACTCATACCACTAATATTTAACTCTATTCTAATCCGCTATAATTTCATATCCACCTCACCTCTAAAGATTTCAATTAATTTTCCAAATCTATGTCACCCTAGATACAACCCTAACTAAATACAAATCCACTCCGATTCAACTCAAATCAAACATATTTAGCATGTGTTTTATTCACCTAATTTTTATTTATTTGAGCCTATCTGACCTTATTAAAACTTATTTTGATTACGTTATAATTTGAACTTAGAACTTATTTTTCCTAAACTGAACTTATCTGAATTTATTAAAACTGAAATAAGTGAAAATAAGTTGAATAGAACAGATCCTTAGCATGGTATAGGGGTTTCCAATTTATATCACCTTGATATCAATGGTATGGGTTCCCAATCCATTTCAATAATTATTGAGCCAAATGAACCAATTTGTCGTTGAAATATAGTTTTATCTAACAACACATATTCCACATTAATTATAGACGAATAGATTAAATATACTTTATAAGACTAAGAGTCTACTCTTTTAATTGTCATATGATTTGGAATGAAACTTCCTTCCATGAACTTGTTAAAAGAACTCTTTTTCATATGAAATTATGAATAAAATAATAAATAAATAAATAATGCAAAAATTCAAATCGGGACACTAAAAAAAATATGAAGGTAAGAAGTATACTTATTTTATGACAGCCTTGGATATTTAAAGCTTCCACCTTTTGTAAGGTGTAACGTCAATAATGTTAAACGGAGTAGTACGGCATAACAGACGTTAATCACCGAAGTGTTGCCGGTGGACCTAAAAATGTCAGTGTGAAGATAATAAAACCTCACAAAGGGCACGGACATAATAACGGTGAATTGGTCCTACCGTCAAATGAATTAACTAGGATGATTATTACACTCCCTTTACTCTTTATTACCAATCAATAATAAATCATTGACCAAATTTAAACCAAGTACCACCGTAATTAACCTTCACTGACTTTGAGGGCATGCTATTGTTGAAATCTCGTTCAAAATATCATTATTTATCCATCATTTGCCTTTAATCATAGATCTACCATAAGTTGGTTAGTGTCCACATTTGACATTTTTAATTACAAAGTTGGCCTAAGCTCATCATTGTACACTCAATTACTCGTCTTGAATTCTAGTGTTGATGAATTAAATCAATTACGAGTAATAGAAATTGATGACTTACTGTTCAGTTACTTCAAATATGATAAATCATATATATACAGTGTTTAAAACATTTACGCTTATTGTCGAAAATTTTATTTTGATACTTATAAATTTGTAATGTTCAAAATAATATATAAAGAACGACGGTCTAAACTTTATTGACGACAATTATATCCGGATATAAAATTAATAGGAGTATAATATATAATATGGAGTGGCAAAAGTGATTACTGTAGAAGTAAATAACTTTTGAAAAAGTTGAAAATTAACCTTTTATACATAATGGAAGTAGTAGTGGATTTAAGCTCCAAACTAGGAGTTGAAATCAAAGTTATGTATATTCATAATTTCAAAGAAAAGGTGGGAGAATTATAAAGTGTTTCATTGCATAGGGAATTGATGTGACTATGTGAGAGGGTATTATAATATAAAGTAAAAAGGGGGTGTATGAGCCTTGAATATTTTACGAAGAGAGGCGTTGCATTTCATGCTTTATTTATGGCGGCGTCTTCTTCTGATTTGAATTGCAACTCACTCATGAGTCATTTCTGTATAACCATTATATGCTACGGAGTACTACGCCTACTGCACTAGTAGTGTGACTTTTTGTCCCTTATAATTAATTTATCCCCAAAATGATGTTAAATTTTCATTTTTGGCTTATTGATAACAATTAGCCATAAATTTTTTAAAATACTACGTAGATAACTTAATGGTATTGTGATCAACTTCATCAATGAGGATTTGTCATTCTTTTCCTCACTTTAAATGAGTCTGATTTGTAAAATTGGAGATTAGTGTTTGAAATAAGCTGTTATAATAATACCCAGCATCATTGACATATTATAAGTTTCTTCTCACCTTTTTCACATGAGTTTTGTGGGCTTTTCGTAATTCACACGTTTTTTGTAATCCTCACTTTTTTGCCACATTCACAATTTTTTTTTGCATTTTATGTAGATTTTAAACAATAACATTCCTTGGATAGTGATGTAGTACAAACCAAAACACGTTTCATTTACATAAACTTCAAGTACTAAACTCACTTCAATAACATAAATAGCTAAGCTAACCATTAAAAGTGTCAAGCTCGTGTCAATAAACACATTTACACTACTTTCCGCATCAAATTACTCCACACTCCAAAGTCCACACTCTACAAATAATAAGTACGTATCTTATTAGGCTATTAAACAAAGAAACGAAAAGGTGAAGTTGTCCTATTTGAAATTGATGAGACAAACACCAACACAAATAACACACACAATCTCAACCCTATGTTCATTGTCTCCTCGACTACACCACCACTCCTCTATTTTTTTACCGTTTTTCTCTCTCTAACTTCCATTGTTTCATCTTTTACTGCAGCTGCTTCTTCTTCTGCAACTTGTAATCCCTAAATTTAATCATTTCCATTTTTTTGTTTTCTTCTAATCTCCTATTTTTCTCTCCTTAAATTACTGGTTCTTTGTAGCTTCCCCATTCTTCGATTTCCTTCCCTTTTTTGTCCTGTTTTCTTCCCATCAATTCCATCAGTTTATTTTTTTTCCCAGGAATTCTCAACCCATAAAAAAAAACCCATTTTTTTGAATTTCAAATTTTCTAATTAAAGCCCCTTATCTTCTTTTCCCTTTATTTTTTTTAATACCCCTTTTCATCTTCTTCCTTCCCGCTTTTTATTCTCTTCCCTTTTTCTCAACTGTCAAATTTTACTCCCCTGAGTTAGTATTTTTCCTCTGTTTTTGTTTTATTTACAAAGTATTTATTTAATTTTTCTTAATATTAATTCCAATTACTAATTTTAATATATTTATATTTTGGCATTTTCTGACAGATATAATGATACAAGGAGAGAGTTGACTGACTGATTGGTTGGTTGAGGGAATTCATAAAATATTTGGAGTACATTCATCTGTGTTAAGTGAACAGAGGCATTTTTTTTTTTGTGTTTAGTCATTTCAATGATTTGATTTACTACTGTACTCGTTTCCTCCAAATTAGTCGCATCACTTTCTTTTAAATATAAACGTAAACCGAAATTAACATAGAGCGTTTTATCTTAACAACATAAATTTAGGAGAGAGAAAACAATAATAGGCGTTGGGCTCTAAGCTTATGTCATTTTCTATGCAAATATTGATATAAACATAACAATGTGCCTTTTTCAATGTTATTACAGACTTTCATGATGCTCTGTGTTTTCCTTCATTGAAGCTTCTGTTCTTGTGAAACCAACATTACATTATACGGAGTACTCATTTACTGCAACATTACACAAAATTGTTGAGAAATTTATTTATTTCCTTACTAAATTTGGAAATAAAAACTAATTGAACATTTTGTGGGCTAAAATTGGTGACTGTTACAAAATAGTGTACTAAATTGGAGGGTTTTGAAGGAAATCAAAATTTGTGGGTACCCATTTGGATTATTTAGCATAATTATTAAGGGGTTGTTTCATAATTGTGATAATTGTAGTGAAGAAGGAAGAAAAGGAAATTGGGTTTTTGTGGGGTTTATTTTTGAGGAGAGAGAAAATGAGTGGGCAACAGCAGAAAAGAGAGAAGAATGAAAAGATTTCATCATCATCATCATCTGAAGGTGTTGAGAAAGTTTTGGTTGCTGTAAAAGCTTCAAAGGAAATTCCAAAGGCAGCTCTTGTTTGGGCTTTGAGTCATGTTGTTCAACCTAGTGATTGTGTTACTCTCATTGTCGTTGTTCCTCCTCCTAGTTCAGGTATGAATTTCAAGTTTTGCTGTTTTTTTGTTCGAGACCATATTTGTTTCGGAATAAGGCTTTGATTTTGTTGTTTGTTGTTGTTGTTGCTGCTGTTGCATATGAATAGTATGTGAGCGGATTTAGGATTGATTAATATTGTGGAAATTGGGGATGTTATTCAGTTATTGAACTGAATTTGAAACGCTAATAAGGAGTTTGATTTCGGAATGATGTTGGATTACAAGAATACTGCAATTAGATGAATAGATTTTGATGCATTTTTGTAGGTAGGAGATTATGGGTTTTCCCAAGATTTGCTGGAGATTGTGCGAGTGGTCAAAAGAAGTTGTTTGCCGGTACTAGTTCGGAGCAGAAAATTGAGTTGACAGATTCTTGTTCTCAGATGATTCTTCAGCTACATGATGTCTATGATCCTAATAAGGTTAGCTAATCACTTCCTGGTATTGCTTGTTAGAATGTGTGTATGATAGTTTATCTAAGTTTAAGTGTTTTATTTTTTTAATTTGCAGAAAAATGTGAATATAAAGATTGTGTCTGCCTCACCTCCGGGAGCTGTAGCTGCAGAAGCGAAGAAGGTTCAAGCGAATTGGGTTGTATTGGACAAGTAATGTTCAACTCATTTCTTCTCCCTCATTAATATGTGAAATGTTGGAATGCTAATCTTGTTTTTTGCCATTTGCAGACACCTCAAGCAAGAAGAAAAACGGTGTATGGATGAGCTCCACTGCAACATTGTGGTCATGAAACGATCTCAGGCGAAAGTGCTTAGACTAAATTTGGTCGGATCACCATCAACGGAGCTTCTTTTATCTGGTCCATCTGGTGACCAACTTGATGAAGTTAGAGGGCCTGTTGTGACACCAAGCAGTAGCCCTGAGTTATTTACTGCGACTGAAGCAGGTACATCATCTGTATCGAGCTCTGATCTTGGGACATCACCTTTTGCCCCATCTATAATGAGTGAAAAGTTGAAGAAGAGTGATATGGTGCTTATAAAAGAAAGTAGAAATCTTTTGTCCGACTCAGATTCAGAGGATGAAGACTCGTCTCCTTGCTCAACAAGTTCAGGAGTTAGGCCTTGGATGGGCGAGTATATAATTTCACATTTACGGTCCTCTCAGAAGCCTGAAAAGAGGTCTTCTATGAAGTCCTCACAGAAGTATTCTGAAATTGATAGGGATTCTGGTATTGGATCTCGAAGATATAAGCATGATCTAGACTATAGTGGTAATGTTAGAGAAGCTATGTCTTTATCAAGAAGTGCTCCTCTTGGACCTCCTCCGCTATGTTCAATTTGCCAACATAAGGCACCGGTTTTTGGGAAGCCTCCAAGGTGGTTCAGCTATGCTGAGCTTGAGCTTGCTACAAGCAGGTTTTCACAATCAAATTTCTTGGCTGAGGGAGGTTATGGATCAGTCCACAGAGGGATACTACCTGATGGTCAAGCTATTGCCGTGAAGCAACATAAATTGGCGAGTTCACAGGGTGATGTCGAGTTTTGTTCAGAAGTGGAAGTTTTGAGTTGTGCTCAACATCGGAATGTGGTTATGCTTATAGGCTATTGTATTGAAGACAAGAGGAGGTTACTTGTCTATGAATACATATGCAATGGATCCCTGGATGCACATTTATATGGTAATGGTTCAATTCTTTTTTTTCTGTGGCTCTAGCATTTTACATTTGTACTGTCATATGCTAACACCTTATCATGTGATTTCAGGACGGAGTCAGCCCCCTTTGGAATGGTTTGCTCGGCAGAAAATAGCTGTTGGAGCTGCTCGAGGATTGCGCTACCTACATGAAGAGTGCAGAGTAGGCTGTATTGTTCATCGTGACATGCGTCCAAACAACATTCTACTCACTCATGATTACGAACCATTGGTACGTAATTATAGACATAAATCATTGTTAGTATTCTTTAGTGGGTTTCTGTTCAAACTTGTTACGAATTCTCTTTTCGTCACTGCATAATACCTATAGGCACAACCACTACACCAAGTCGAGGGATCATTTGTTACCTATAGATGGGGTTCGGATGTTATATGGAAGCTTAAAAGGGTTATGGTAGATAAATTTCTCCATGTTATTTACTTTATTGAGCAATGGATAGACCAAAACTAGATGCGGTGATTTTCTACTTTTGTGATTCTCATGTGACCTAGAGTCCTAGATTCTAAAAAGAACATAAAGTGGGGTGTTGAGGGGAGGGAAAAGAAGTCACCTCTCAAGTGCTTACTGTTGTGTCAAATTTCATTACAATGTTTGCAGTTTGCATTTAATATTAACCAAGAATCATCTGTCATTTCCAATGATTTCAAAGATTTGTTTTTTTTTTTTTTTTTGACTTTTTAACCTATTTCGGTTTGTATTAAATTGATTCATTAAACTGTCTCTAATTAATGATACATCAACCAATAAATGTGTATGGAATCAAGGGAGAACTAGGGACAACCTCTTTTATTAATTATGGGCCGGTTATGTACATCTGAGATCTGACAACCCTGCTGAAGACAGGAGCCTCTTTAGAGGCATTGGATGTATTTTGATTTGAAATCGTGTCTTAATTGAGATTACTAGGTAAAGGAAGAGTGTACTTCATTTTTGTGATCTGTAATCCGGTAACTTTAACAAGATTTACGTAATGTTGATATTCTGTTTCCTAATCTTTCCGAGGAATCTAATCAATGCATAGTAGCATTGCAACCTTGTGACTGCTAGTTGAATGAATGAAATATCACCCTTCTTCCAAGGCGTGATTCAATCCTTGTTTTAAAACTATTGTACTCCGTATACTACTTTTGTATTCTGATGTTGCGGATTTTTATTTTCCTGGTCAGGTGGGGGATTTTGGCCTGGCGAGATGGCAACCTGATGGAGACACTGGAGTCGAAACAAGAGTGATAGGCACATTTGGGTACGTCTTGATGTACCATTTCTTTGATTTATTAGACCTTTTATACATTTAGGTTAATGTTAATCTAATAAAAAAAACCATTTCTTATCTACTGCAGGTATTTAGCTCCAGAATATGCACAAAGTGGGCAAATCACAGAAAAGGCTGATGTCTATTCCTTTGGTGTTGTACTCGTAGAGCTTCTTACAGGAAGAAAGGCTGTTGATCTCACTCGACCTAAAGGCCAGCAGTGTCTTACTGAATGGGTATTTGCTGTCATCGTTGCTTTGTTCTATTAGTCCTGTGGCTGCTAAACCTTTTACATGATCAAGTCTTATGTTCACTTACATTTTTGTGTCTTATATCTTAAACAGGCACGACCCCTCTTAGAAGAGAGTGCTATTGAGGATTTAATTGACCCTCGTCTTGGTAACCGGTATTTAGAACCAGAGGTTCTTTGCCTGATGCATGCTGCTTCCTTGTGCATTCGGCAGGACCCTCATTCCAGGCCTCGAATGTCACAGGTAAAAAACACGACTCTTTTTCCCCTTAAACTGTTTAGTGCGTGTATTGAGAACTCTAATGACGAGTGTTGAAGTTCAGAATTTGCTGGTAGTTAAGTGTATAGGAACAAGAAAACATTAATCAAGACTTTGTTTATATTTGGTGTGTGAAATATTAGGTCCTGCGCGTACTAGAGGGTGACATGTTCATGGATTCCAGTGCTCTGTCTACTCCTAGACATGATGTAGGGAATCGCAGCGGAAGAATGCGGCATTTGGAGTGCGAATCATATAGTGGTCCATTACGCAACGAGGAAACGGGAGTATACACGGGTAGCTTATCTCTTGAATCACTAAGGACAGCTTTGTGGGAAAGGGAAAGGCTTAGGATTTCATCAGATCACTAAGAAGTGAAAATTGCTTTTGCAGGAGTTTTGGTGTAGGGTTTTCTTTTTGGGGTTATTGATCTATAATATTTATTCTTGTATATATGGAGGTGAGGTTAAGGGTATTGTAATCCATTTTGGGGAGTAGTTGTTAATATACAAGTATGCATTTTGTGTAATCGTACTGTCACTTACAAGCAAGTGATTACAAATGAAAATGCCACTTTTGAAAATCTTTTGTTTTCGTGAAGAATTAATACAGTAGTTAAATTAATAGCAAAAGCGGTTTAGTAACAAATTTTGTTTCTTGGAATCGTGTTTGGACTACCAAAGCCACGAATATCACACCCCCCCACCAATTTTCCCAATCATTTATTTTTCCTAATGTTGAGTTAGCAGATTTTAATTGGTAGTGCAACTTTAAGAAATTGGGACTACTACTAATGATTTTTGGCTCATTTAATATACAGAGTATTGTTTATGAAAGGGGAAGCTAATGTTTTGTTTTCTGCTAAAATGGACTCGTGAAGTCCCGTAGTATATATGTGATTCTTAATTCTGAACAGAGGTTTTTTCACAATGGAAATTGCAAGCTTCAAAGAATAAATTATAAGCAATATTTTGCTAAACAGATGGCATAACTTTCTAACTCCGTACAGTATATCTTTCATTTGCTGTCTATCTTGTTGAGTATACAGTACCAAATACAAACTGGGGCACAATTGTAAGCTGAGCGCACAGCACTAAAAAGCCTTGAAAATCTTACTAAAAGCTATGGTAAGATTTAGTTGTCTGCATGTCAGAAATGATCTTCAGAGTTTACAAGCTTTATCTGTGTGCGACTTGTTAATTTACTAAAACTAGTATTCAAGGAGAAAAGGGACAACTACAGATGCAGCATCTGCCATTGCTTACAATAATGCACTTAAGAAGCACTATCGCATGAATATCCCGATATTTCTTTGCCTATGGCTTTCTCATTTTAGACCTAGCATATCTGGAGAAAAACATTGAAAAAAAAAGTTGAAAATGAGCTTGCATAATCATCAGATGACTAAAGCAGACTAATGGATATCAGGTAAGAGATGGAAGAATACTCAATGTGCATGCCACCCCTGTCTGAAGACGGCAACGTGCTGTCCTGAAGTGTTTGCATTGCATGAGTAGCTTGTTCTACTTCCTGAATAGAGCAGGACATAAGCATGACATTTAGCAAACCTTGTGGTTAGTGAGTGTCATTAATACAAGTATGCAACCACACCAGTAATGAAATGTACAGCAGAATGGGAGAAAGAAAGAATAAGAAAATGACTAACAAAATGAAATACAAAAATTATAGAATTTGAAAGGCCGCTGAAACAATCTTGTAGTAATAAACGAGTATAATCCAATCTGACTGAATAAGAGAATTATTCATCTTCGCCAGATGTTTTAAATGTTTAGTAATGCTATTGGCTCTGACTAACTAATACGAAGTATTAACATTGGCTGCATAGATATAAATATAAATATGCTTGTAATACCTCATAATCCGCAAATGCAACTGGCATGCCACCTCTAGCACGCAGCTTCAGCCCATTGAATCCAGAATATCTAAACATATCATAAGGAACGCAAAAACACTTAGACGAGTGACATGAGGGATACAAAAAGAACTAGGCTCAAGAAAATTGAGGCTCACATACTGAGAAAGTGCTTGTCTAAGTTCATCCTCAGTGCAGTTAGGCCCTAAATTAGCAATAAACAAGGTGGAGCATGGCCTTAGATCGCCTTGAGAGGCCTTTTCTGTCTGCTCCTGTAGACATGGTTCAAGAACAAAAGATAAATCTAAAACAAAAGTATACTGAAATGCACCACGAGTTTGTGGAACAAAAAGGAGCTGTAATTTAAACACATCAGACAAAAGCAGTAGGATCAGAACAATAGAACTAGGCTTCGTTCTAATCACCTGAGGTACAGATACTCTAATTTGACACCATCCATATTACTAACCCTCATCTAAATTTATCTATTTTAAAACATACTCTGTACAAAGCTAAGGTGGAAAGAACAAGGCACCTCAAAATATGTTATTGACAAATAAACTCAATAGTTTGTTTGTTTTTTTCTTTTTTTTTTTTTTTTTTTTTTTTTTTGGGTAAGGAGAAAGGCCCTACCGGGCCAGAACCTCTCACAACAAATAAACTCATAGTTGGTAATTAGACTCATTAGGATAAGGTGACATACATACAGTCATATCCACAGTTTCACTGACACAGGGTTCATGTAACTATGTAAGCCAGACCAAGATCTAGGCTCTCATGCAGCCTACACCCATGAATACCTATATTCAGTTAAAACACAAACATTATAATATATACAAAGAATAGTCTTTTTAAATTTCAGCCTTCAAAGAAACTTTCCAGCTTATACTGTAGGTAAAAACTACTCCCTCCATCTCTAAATACGAGGTCACATTTGGTATGATGTCATAGAATTGAAAGCTACCATAATATCCTTCCCTTTGCAATTTTTTACTTCACCACAACACATGGTGTAACTCTTCAGAGTGTTCTGTTATATCACTGATAATATTATGGACAAGTTGAGGGTTTAACTTATCAACCAATTTAAGGGACTATTATTTTGAGAGAGCTCAACATAAAATTGTGTAGCCTATAATTCAAAGATAGGAGTAACAAAGAAACAAGTTAAGGAATCAATCACCAACATTTGCAGCAGCCACAGTACCACCAAGTTTCACGTTCTCCTCACTGTACAACATCATACATGGTGTTAGAAGTTCACTCAATAACGAGATAAACAACACATACATGCACAATTGCACACAGAGTCACACACATGCATGCACACACATACACATACACACACACAATATGCTCAAGCAAACATTTAAGCTTGTGTATAAATAGGCACATATACGTTTAGAATATTGGTGGGTATGATGTATGAAGAAAAGCAAACAGGGGCATTCTTGAAATGTAGCTCATATTTCTTTTAAGAAACTATCATGTTCCAAGTTACAAACCTTTTCACAGTGGACTGCGTATTATTGTTGGAAGAGTCAGGGTCTTCACTCTGATCAGACTCATTATCACCTGCATGAAAAACAATGGTCAAGTACATATCAATATTCCTGGTCATCGTCAATTGGAACCTATATCTGGTTTATTTTAAAAACATTAAGCAGGGATAAAAACAATAGAATAAATAGCAAAAAGGAAGATGATGCTGAAATGGGTAGCTGCAATAATGAACATGATTTCCTATCAACACTCAAACTGTCATTTGCATTAAAGAATAGAGAGTACCATCATCACTTGATGTATCTTCAGCATCATCTGCAGATATTTTCCTTTTATCGATCACAACATAAGGTCCACTACCTTAAATAGAAAGGAATAAATAATGAAGTAAGAAGAGATGAAGTAAAGCTACATTGAGACACAGAATAACAAATAACATGAAAGTGTCTGTTGGGCATAAAGCATGCACCTGGTTTATGTTTTCGCCTTGAGTTTGATCTAGCCAGTTCAATATGCAGAACTGATCCAGCTTGTGGATCAAACTTGATACCCTAGACATTGGAAACATAATGTATACAGATTATTGTTCCAAAAGGAAAAGGATTAAGCATTACTAAATCCTATATGCAATATATGGTACTGGAGTTTTGCAAGAGCCAATAACTGTTAAAATTGTTGATGATCTTGATAAATACCACAAATCTACGATTAATTCATAGCACTAACTCCACCACACCTCCCCCCCCCCCCCACCCTTCTCTCTTGCTCCTTCAAGTGCAAACACCTCAAAATGCTTCAATATCTATCTTCCCTTCTAATTTATATTTACACCACAACCAATGTAACACTAAACTTTGAATGGTTGCTCTTAAAGTACAAAATCAACTTGAAAACATCTCTATATAGATCAATTTTCAAGACAGATGTTATTGAACGATGCAGAAGGTTATTAATCCAAACCATAAACATGGACACTGTAGCTTTTCTCCAAAATGAATACTGATATCTTTATATCTACTGCCACAAACGCCACCACCCCTTAATACTAACCTGTACACGATTGCTATCCAACCCGAATTCATTCCCCTCGTTCCAACCACAACATTATAGTATTATACTAGTACAAAGACATCAAATTATAACATCAACAATTCATACAATAGATCAAAATAGAAAAAACACATTTCCATATAACTCTATTCGAGGACTCACAGCAATACTCATAAAGATCAAACATTTTCATTAAATATGCTTACATCTAAGGCTTGTAATGCCAGCACAGCTGATTGATGGTTATAAAATGTCACAAATGCAACTACCTGCATACAAAAACATAAAAAATAATATGATCTTATTAAATGAAACAACATAATCCAATATCAATAACAACCCAATTCAGCTAATTGAAAAACCCAAAACACAATATTGACCCAGAAATCAAACTTTAATCATAGGAAAATGCAATAGAAATTAAAAGGGCAGGGGCAAACTTGATTGCCGCGGCCAGTAAACTTGAGCTGACAAGAATCGAACCCAGGACGACGGCGGAAAAGGTTGTAAATTTCGCGAGGCATGACATCGTCAGGGAGGCCGGAGACGAAGAGGGTGTTGATATGACGCTGTGATTTGGGGATGTGAATTGGGATAATTGGGGTGGTGCTAATACTGGGATTATTACTGGAATTGGAGATGAAATCATGAGAATGGTTGAAATTAGGGTTTATAGTTTCGCTGATGTTGTGGTGGAAGTAGTATTCTGGTGGTTGGTGGCGGTTTTGGTGGAGGTAGTATGGCTCGTACGGTGGTTGCACCATTTCTCTTCTTTCTGGTTAGTCTTTGGGTTTTGCAGGGTTCTGGGTTTGTGTTAACTTGCCCAATTTTGCGGGCCTACTTGATAAACTAATACAAGTACGGAGTATAATACACTATATGTCTATACTCACTCCGTTCTGAAATGATCTTTTATACGTACTTAATAATTTTGATTTGTTTCTATATACTATCTCCATTACATATTATTTGCAACGATTAGACATATTTTACTCACACTCTATGTCAAATCGTTGCAAATAATATAAAACGGAGCGAAGGTAGACAAATGGTATCTAATATACTTCATCTGTTCCTATTTGTTTGCCTCATAGCAAAAATTTGGGTCAAACTTTAAAATCTTTGACCACAAATTCTCATTAATTTATAAGTAATAATATAGTCAAGGGGGATTTAGTTGAATTCGTCCCATCGTATACTTTATTAATATAAGGTTTTTATAAATTTTACGCAAATGAAAATTAAGATATTTACGTTCTAATACGTGTTTTGGAGACCGTGAAAAGTTCAATGGAACAAATAAATAGGGAATGAGGGAGTAGCTTTTTTTTTTAATTCTTTTTTGTTGAAACTTGATTAATACGGAGTTTTCAATTTTTAATTTTACCATTTTAGTTATGCTGAGAATAATTTGATTTCACCATGGTAGAAATGGTGAGCTCATCACAATAAATGGTTAAACCACAGTGTATTTGGACGACTTATTAAAGTTTCCGTCATGTAGTATTAAGCATCAGTGATCAAATTATGTGTGTTTAAGAGCAAATTAATGACAAGATTTAGGCATTCATTTATTTGGAGGGGAAGGGCGGGGGTTATGAGCTTAGACTCAATCCGATTATCCAACAGAAAGAGTGTGCACTCACAACTACTAGTAGCCAATTGCAGGTGTACAAAATTCATATTTGGATTGCATGTGTGTAACTCCGTAATTCATTGCAAGCACCATGTCCTAATCAATCACCGCTAACGTGAATTAAAACATCGTAATCTTCATCTTTTAACTGTTTTTTTTTTCCCATTTCTAGAGAGTTGTATTTGTGGGGCACGTTAAATAAAAAATTATATTGAAAATGTTCTATTTATTAATTTTAACTGTCATTAAAAAAAAAAAAAAAATTGACGGTGAAAAATTATCCATTAACTTTAAACAGTCATACAGTTTAACCCCTAACTAATGCCAAGTGATGTTGTTATAACAATCTCCCGTAACTTTTTCATGAGTTAGAATAAACTACTACTCGTACTCTTAATAAAAATGGACTAATGGAGAATCAACACAATTAAATGCAAAACTGTGACATTATTCAACAATTCCAATTACACACTACCATCAACACGTGCCAACCAAATAAATTTATAAAAAAATAAAATCAAATTATGAGGAATCAATAATAAGACAAGAAAAAAGTCAATACATCAATAACGTTGACTAAAGATCAAGGATGATCAAATACCGGTCCGACCGGCAAGCAAACCGCCGGCAGCAGCTTGTTCTTCATCCAAGAACAAATCATCAGACCGTCGAAAAACCGAGTAAATTACAATCACCCCAACACCAACAGCCAAAGCAATCAATATATTTCCAGTAGCACCCGTCAACAGCAAAAACCCGACGGTCAATACCGAGAGAACCGCGAGTATAATCCGATCGTCAATGGACCGACCGAAGAGAACAAGCGGTTCATCCCTGAGAAAGTAGAGAAAAAGCCAAGCAACCATCATAACAAGGAAGACGATGAGGGAGATGGGGTGCCAGAGGAGAGAGACGAAGAGGATGAGGAGAACGATCATGGCGAAGTTCATACGGAAGTAAGAGAAGTTGGTTTTGAGGCGAGAGAAGGCGTCGGAGAAGTGGTGGGGGAAGGAGAGGGAGTGGCGGTCGAAGAATTGACGCCATGGACGGCGGGAGGAGAAGGTGCCGTAGAGGCGGTGTTTGGCGCGGGAGATGAAGTCGAGGTTGGCGGAGAGAGGGGTGGAGGAAGGTGGTGGTGAGGAGGAGGTTGTTATGGGTTTGTAAGGGGAGGAAGAAGACATGGTTGGAAATGGGGAGTAGTTGTGAGGAGAGAGAATGGGGGTGTAAGGGAAGGTCAGGATTTTTGTGATTGGGGATTTCAATATTAGAATGGGGATTTCTATTGGCATGAAGAGATTTCTGAGGAGGGCCAGAGGGGATGGAGATATAGAAATGTGTAAAAAATTTATTAGATTATGCACCTTAGATCATTATGAGCAGTGAGGAGAAAAACAAACCCCTTAATTTCTCTCTACTCACTTTCTCACTCTTCCCATCCAATTCCTTTCATGAGAGGTTTTTTTTACAACACCAATGCTAAAAAAAAAAAAAATTCTCATCACTTTATCCTCCACTATTACTATACCCCACCATAATACACATCACCTTTTTTTTCTCCTTTTTTTTAATAATGTTTATACTACATATTTAACTTTCCAATACAATTAAAAATATGTAATATTTTTTTTTTATTATTTACGTTTTAATTATAATGTAATAATTTTTAATTATTTAGGTAATTTTTTTATTTTTTTTTTATTTTTTTTATTTATTTAATGACGGTTAAAATTAATAAATAGAACATTTTCAATATAATTTTTTATTTAACGTTCTTATTAGAATATAATAATAAAAAAAATTACCCATGAGAAGAATTGGCTGCTTTCTCAACAAGCTAAATGCGCTGGCGTCATTTGCTCGTGGGCCCCACATTGTCACTGTTCATCCTTATTTCCCTCAAGTCTTGTGCGTTTTTCAATCTCCTCAACCATGAGAAGAATTCCTCTCACTGAAGTAGTGTTTTGTTTTTTTTTTTACACCTTAAGTTTCACTTGTGAGGGTTTTTTCACTCACGCTGGGAGTGCTCTTAGAGCATCATTCATCTTTGAGGTAAATTTGCGATATTTGAGAAAAATATTAATATTTAGGAAGAAGTTTGAATCGCTTAATTCATTTAAAACTTTACAAGCATTACCACATGTAACGTTATTCTAGACCATAATATTGGAACATATGATTAGTAAACAGCAAATAATCAATACGCCCTCTATCTCAAAATAACTGACACAATCAAATTTTATACACATGTCGAGACATTAGTTTGACCTTATTTTTACATAAGTAAATATTAATGAAAATTTCAAAAAAAAAAATAGTTATATTATGAAACTTTATACCAATACCTATCTAAAAACTTATTTTATAATAATACATGTTGTATATATATATATATATATATATATATATATATATATATATATATATATATATATATATATATTGAAGAAAGTCCAACATCTCAGTTATTAAGGGATGGAAGGAATACAAAGTATGAATTGTAGAAAATGAGCTAATATATCCATCATTAAAATATAAGGTCAATTATAACTTTAAGTTAATTACTTCTAATGATGATTGAGGTGATGAAGTAATGATATCGTTATTCACTCCCGATCTCAAAATTTAGGATTCAAATCTCATGGAACTTTATTTGACAAATTACTTGCATCTTCACTCAAGAAAATCCCATAACATAAATGAATGAAAAAGAAAGCGGCATTTTAATTTGGTGGGAAAAGCAACTGAGCCGACATGAAATTGAACAAATGAAAACGAAATATCTTAATATTGGGGTTGAGTTGTTTAAAAATACAGCTCTCCGTGTATAAGGCGTTGGTGAGGTCAGGATATAAAGCTTGTTCAAGGCTCTCACATGCAACTGCCACGTGACTTGTTGGAATTTATACCTTTATTTATTTTTTATTAATAATAATCTAGACACTAACAAGTCTTATTTTGATATGTAGTTGCATGATCCAAATATTTTT